AATAACAGGTATCCAGTGTGTTCAGGGTTTTGGCGCCCCCTGATGGCAGGGGTGTGGTAACACCACACTCAGGCCTTCTCTACTTGTAGCTTGGCCCGAATTGGAAGAAACTCCAATGACGCTGAGTTGTCTGACGTAACACATCCACACCTGGTTCCTGGAACACCTGCAAGGCTTTTCTCCCCTTTGCCACCCTGCCCCCAAGCACCCCACTGCGCCCTTTCTGTCCCCTGCCAGGCCACCATGGCCCCTCCCAGTGCCCTTGTGACTCTGGACCACCCTTTGATCAACTGTTGCTCCCGTGATGGGACTGGGCAGGATTGGGACATGGGGCCCGATACAGCAGAGCTATAATGCTTGAGTTCCTTCTCCCCAAAGTTCGCCCTGGTGTCAGTTTAGGGCTGCTGCCCTCTCAGTCTCAAAAAATAGACTCCAGTGTTGTCAGTCTCCCTAAGGCTCTGTGTACTCATTGCTGAGCAGCCTCATGGTCATTAGTGTCACTGTCTTAACATACAGCATTTTCCTCCTGCTTCCCATCTGGACCGCATGTTTGCGCCAACCTCTTACCACTCAGCCTGGGGACATTCATCAAACAGCAGGGGTCTTGACTCCCCCACCTGCCCTACCACTGGGTAAGAACCCTCCTTACTGTACCTGGGCAGTTACTATCTCGTGGATGATGGCGGAAGACAGGACATGAATAAAGTTGGAGAACAGTATTCTAGAAGGAATGAATCTTATGTAATTCTAGCTAACATACTCTTGCGGTGGGTGCTTAAGGTATCAAAATTCAGTAACTGTATAGTTAACTATTACAAGAATGTTGTCTCCATCCTTCTGTTTGACATTTGTCAGCAAGATGGGCATGACTAATGGTTGGGCTCTTATTTGAAACCTCTACTTTTCTATAGTTTTGGAAAATACAATAAATCTCTGCTTGAAGAAATGGTATAGAGACGGATTTGAAATTTCTGAGTATCATTAATGTTTCATGATCATCTCAGTTTCTTCTCTGAAGGAAACACTTAAGGCCAGTTTTGGACCCTGTAAGCAAAATTAGACTGCTGCCCTCTCTGCTGCTTCCACCAACTTACCAGCTTGGTTTCTTTGTCATGAAGTCCAGGTATGGGGCCTTCTTGATCGTTTACCCAATGTTAGTGTATCTCTTGGAAAATTGGTAAAAAAAAATATATATCTTATCCTGGACCTGATTTCCCAGAAATCATGTTCTGTGATGTTTGGTTCTTCTTCTTCTTCTTTTTTTTTTTTTTTTAAAGATTTTATATTTGACAGAGAGAGACACAGCGAGAGAGGGAACACAAGCAGGGGGAGTGGGAGAGGGAGAAGCAGGCTTCCTGTGGAGCAGGGAGCCCAATGTGGGGCTCGATCCCAGGACCCTGGGATCATGACCGGAGCTGAAGGCAGACGCTTAACGACTGAGCCACCCAGGCACCCCGTGTGATGTTTGGTTCTTCTTAAGGAATCATGAATTTTAAGAGCACTATTTTTCCTAAAGAAAATTGATAGTGTTGCACTTTTTTCACATTTAAAAAAACCTGTGAAGTCAGCTTATTGACTCACCAAAACTGTCTACCTTTCTGATTTTAAAATCGTAAGAAATGCTGTTAGGATTATTGAGAGCAATGGAATTTTACAAACTACTGATACCTGGCTCTCATCCTAAATACTGATTTTACTCGTCTGGGGTACCTTTGGGGAGCCTGAGTTTTTGACACGCCTCGTATGTTTCTACTGAGCAGCCAAGGTTGAGAACCACTGAAGCAGATTTGGAACCTGGTGCTAAAAAAGTTATAGTTCTGCTGTTAACAAGTGACTACTTAACAGGACTTTGAAGCCTTTTATATTAAATGCCATACAACTTTAGATGCCTTTCAGATACAAAGCACAAGTGTACAGTTTATTAAATGTTAGGAGTTGCGGAAAGTGGATGCAGGGAAGGGAGTTGTCACACTAGCATAATAGCAGATCAGGAGCTTTTGTCATCAATGGATGCTGAAGTTTTGGGATGAAAAGTAGTGGGATACGGCCCAACATATCACCCTCTCCACTGAGGTCTTTTAGTCACTAGTTAACCAAGTGATTAAACTTAGCACCACCAGCCCACTTACAAACTTCTTAGTCTCTAAAATAGAGGAGACGATAGTTCTCACCTTCCTAGTTCCTCCCTGGAGACTGAGATTCAGTGCTGGATGAATGTTGAGCTTTTCTGATGGCTATTTTATTTTTCTATGTGTCATAATAGCTGAGAAGAATCAGATTTAAATTAATGTCTGCCAATAGATGTTAACTTCAACTGAGACGGGACTGAGTTTAAAGATAGGAAGGAACAATTTATTTGAAGCTTTAAAAGTCCTAAGTAAAGTAGTATAACATAGGAAAAAAATTTAAAACAGTCTGAAACTTGAGTAGTTAATAAAAATACTTGTAATAAAGCACAGGAAAACAATGTATTTGGTCATATTGTGATTCCTAATGTAAATCGGAGCACTGCTATTGATAATTTTAAATGTAATTTACATTTGTATATGATGTAAACAGTTGGAAAATGTTTGATTAAATCGTTTCACTATTAACACAAGAGTTCATTTAAATGATTTCATGAGAACGGAGCATGGTTACCTTGGTTTGTGGACCAAACATCTTTAAGGCAGTGTTTCTCCAAGTCTCTCTAGGGAACGTTCACCCTGTGAGGTGCTGTCTGCAAAATGGGTACACTTTGGCAAGTACTGCATACAATAGTCCTTTTCAAAGAAACATGATTTACAGTAGTATATTGAAAGCTTTGAAGTCTTACAGGAGAGAAACCTGTTAACTTATGTCTAATCTAGAATTCCCCAAACCTATCTGACCACAGAAGCCTTTTGTCCCCCCTTTTACAGCAATTCCTAGAAACACTTTAGGGATTGCTGCTTAAAAGAAGAGTTGGTCTCAAATAATAATGGTATTTGAATATCACAGACTATCTTATGTTAGTCCATTCATGGCAATGTAGGCTTTTTCTAGCATGCTGAAAGAGGCAAGGAAGGATCCTGTTTGTTTGTGTGACTGAATGTTTGTGTTCCCAAAAATTCATGTTGAAATCATAACACCCAAGGTGATGATATTTGGAGGTGGGGCTTTTGGGAGATGATTAGTTCATGGAGGTTGAACCCTCATGACTCATTAGTGCCTCTATTAAACACACCCGGGAAAGCTTGCCCACCCCTCCTAACATATGAGGACACAGCAAGACAGCCATCTGTGAACCAGGAAGCAGGCCCTCACCAGACATCAAATCTGCTGGTGCCTTAATCTTGGACTTCCAGCCTCCAGAACCGTGAGAAATAACATGTCTGCTGTTTACAAGCCTGAATGGACTTAACAGCAGCCTGACTGGACTAACACAAGGACATCAGAATTTGTTTCTGCTCCTGCATAGAAAGTCATCTTTTTCTTTTTGGGGCAGAGTGGAGTGATAGTGGTTCTAGCACCTGTTTGAGGAAAGCAAACGGCCTGTTTGATACTGTCACTCTGCCACCACTACATGAAGTCACTGACAACTGTCAACAGGCTTCTGGTATTAACATGAAGATCCACTGTAACGTTTTGATTATAAGGATATAAAGAGTAGAAAAACCACCTAAGAATTCTGTTGCTGCCTGCCTTCCAATGAAGTTTTTTTTTTTCGGTTTTCTCATAAATCAGGGGTTGTTAAACATTACAAGAATCATTTCTAGGCTTTTCCTACCACTCTTTAAACAAATATTAAGCGTCTTCTTGCTAGGCACTGTGGTGGGGAGGTAAAAGTGGAAAGAAACATTCTCACTGGCATCTGGAAGGACATTTTGCTCTGAATTACTGGAAATGGAACGGGTACGGAGTTGGGTTAGAGAAACCTTTGAATTTAGCATGTATGAAAGGCATCATGATTGTGGCACTGGAGGGGTATCTTTTCACTTAACACATGACTTGTTTTATGAATGGTACCAGTACTCTAAACTCCAATGCTAAAGACAATTCATTAACATCTATATCTATAATCTTAAGAAATGCATTTAGGGGGCTCCTGAGTGGCTTATTCAGTTGAGTGCCCCAACTCTTGGTTTCGAGTCCTACAGTGGGCTCCGCGCTCAGCACGGAGTCTGCTTCAGATTCTCTCTCCCTTTCCTTCTCACTCTCCCCCGCCCCTCTCCCCACTCACGCATGCTCTAATAAATAAATACAATCTTTTCTAAAAAACCAAATACGTTTAGTACTTGTGTTTTTTCTAACACTGCCAAGCAATTCTCCCAATTCTCAGTGGCCACTGACTAGGTGTCCTACAAACTTAATTCAGTGATGACCCTATCTACTTGGAATTAGTGTCAGGTCCGACAGGTTAAGGGCTCAGTCCAACAAGACTGCCCCTAATTCAAACACCTATTGCTAAGTCCTGATTGTTACCTGTCCTTCTGACTTACTGGCTATAAATCTGAGGTTCCCAATGACATCCTCCTTGGGTTTGATTAATTTGCTAGAGTAACTACAGAACTCAGAAAAACATTTACTTAAACATTTACCAGCTTATTATAAAGGATACAGATGAACAGCTAGATGAAGAGGTACAAAGGGCAAGGTCCCACAGACAGGGTCTGTCCAAACCCAGTCCTTTTGGGTTTTTATAGAGGCTTCATTACACAGTCATGATTGATTAAATCATTGGCCATTGGTGTTTGATTTAACCTCCAGCCCCTCTCCCCTCCCTAGAGGTGGGGGGGAGTGGGGGATTGAAAGTTCCAACCCTCTAATCACACGGTAGGTTCCCCTGGCAACCAGTCCCCATCCACAGGTTACTTAGCTTTCCAAAAGTTACCTCATTAAAGTCACAAGACACGTTTATCACTCTATCAGTTAAGAAATTTCAAGAGTTTTAGGAGCTCTGTACCAGGAAAGGAGATAAAGACCAAATATATATGTCTTATAAGTCGCAATATCACAAGTACCAAACCAAAATTTTTCACTTAACAGGTTTATTTTAGCAGCTCAGTTTTATTACATTCTACATATTTAATATATTTATATGTCTATCTGTTCTGCATAGATGGCATATTCATTAACTTTTATAGTTGACTTTTTTATTTGATATTTGCTGCTACCTGGCCTGAAGAAAGAGTCAGGAAGACAAAACTTGCTTGGTGGATACATGGTGCAGCATTTAACTTTTCAGCAGAACTTTATTTTGATGTAGGCTTCAGTGTCAGCTTTTCTTCCTCTTCTTTTTCAAATCCCGAACAGACGAGAGATCTTCCCTTAGGATATCGAGCACAACACTTACGCAGTTCTTGGATGACAGCCTGACACTTAGATTCCATGTAGTTGTTGGCTGAAAAACAGACAGGCAGACCCCAGTCATGATCTCAGAGAACTAAGGCACAGGGAAGTTTAGATCAGCGCTTCCCACTCTACAGACCTGGAAGAAAGAGGATGTACCCAAGTCCACCTAATTCTTTCTGATGTACAGACCAGTCAACAGGATAATTAGAAAAAAAATAAAGCATGATTTACAAAGTGGTTGAAAGCTATTTTTATATATGAATTTCCTTTTCTTTAAGGTTGAGTTAATAGCTTACGTGCCCTTTTCTAAGACAGTGGTGGCTGTGGGACCTCCCTACCAAGTCTGTGCAAACTGCAGCCTCTGGATAGAGTTCAACTCTTTTTTACAGCTGTGAGCTAAGAATGGTTCTTACATTTTTCAAGGGTTGCAAACACACACCCACACACCCACCCACACACTCTACAACAAAGACCTTCTGGCTTCCAAAGCTAAAATAGTTCCTATTTGGCCTTCTACAGAAAATATTTTGTAGACCCCCTACTATACATAGACCTTAAGTCAAGGAGAACTTGACCTAAAAGTTCTAGGTCAGCTGCAGTTGATCTGAGTCCCCCAGTGCTAAAATGGGGTGCATGGGAGTTAATCCAGGATTAAAAAAAAAAAAACCCAATTCTGACTAGAAAGAATACAGCACACTGGCTGAGTCCAAGCTTGGAGCCAGACCAAAAGGGTTCAAATCCTCACTGTACCCCTTACTAGTTGTGTGACCCTAGACAAGTTATCTAACTTCTGTGTCAATTTCTCCATCTATAAAATGGGGGTCATAGTAGCATCCACCTAATGGATGAAAGGATTAAATGACTCAATATGTTTAAAACCCTTATGGCTGTGCTTAATTCTCTTAGTCCTTCCAGCCCTCAGTCCTCCCACACTGTAGCCATGTGTTGCTAATTCAAATAAGGTAAGAATTTATTTGGGAAAAGTAACTGTGAAAAACATTTTCCTTTTTCTTAAATTTGGAGGAAGGAAAAAGGATGAATAAAGTAGCATTACTATCATTATACATTAACATTTTAGATTAAGATATTTATGAAATATTGCTTACATCATAAAATGAAAAGTCTAAGAATGAAAGTTAAAAGTCAAAGGAAATACACAAACGAGGGTTTTCTTTAGTAGTGAATCTTTGGGTAAATTCTTAACATTTTTCCTTCAGACCCTTCTATATTTCCATGGGCATCCATCTCTATCTGTTACTTTAATAATGGGAAAAGTTATCAAAAACATCACTTTTGAAGTTCAGAAAGCCTTGTAGCTTTTTCTGTCCTGCCAATAATCATTTGCTGATTAAAAAAAAATATAAAATCCTCTAGCATTTGGTCAAACTTATTGGCCAATTTAAAACCAAATTGGGGGAAAAAATCAAGTGGACAGATCACATCAAATATGCTTTAGTTGAAGTTTGCTTTTGCCTTTAAGACTTAGTTGCTGACTTTGGCAGCCTGAATTCCAGTTGTATTTTCAACCCCCATTTCTAACCTGAATGCTTTTAAGAAGTGGGTTGTCAGCCACAGTGGAGTATAACCAACCCACTTAAAACTAGTCTTTTTAAAAAAGGACTTTGCTCAGCTTATTCTCAACACTGGCTGTACATTAAAATAACCTGGTTAGCTTTTTAGACTTATTCCTGCCCAGAACCTGTCCTCAGGAGGTCTGATTTAATTGTTCTAGGCAAGAGCATTTTTAAAGCTCTTCAGGTGATTCTAATGTACAACCAGAATTGCAAACATGAAGCTTGGATCATATCACTTTTTTTTTTCTGCATCTTTGATGAAATTAGAAAAATCTTCAGGATAATTACGGAAATATTACATTTGAGAGGAGCTCGTATCATTTGTGATAAAAAGAAAAACTGGTCTCTTGTAGTTAGTTCACAGATAAAGTGAAAAAATATAAAAAAGCATTTAACATACTACCTTGTAAACATTTCTGTATTTCACAGGCTTGTTTCTGGCACGGATCCTTCTGCGGCATATCCAGAAAACTAAAATAAGAAAAATGATTTTTATTTTGTCTTTTATCCATAAAGACTTTAAAGCCCCTCTAGATGGAATTTTCTTCTGAGACAACCAGGTACGCTAGAAAACAATTGCACTAAAAAATACTCTTCCCATTCATAGGATGAATCAACTGTATTTTTATAATATCCATTTCATTCAATTTGGAAGACATAAATAGCTTTACATGAAAATAAAACCTTGAATTCAATCGCCTCATCTTGAATATTGTAAACCAATTGTGGGCTAGAGGAGCCGATGCCACAGCCAAATAGGCCTGTCCACTGCTCAGATCTATCATTCACAGAACCACCCTTGGTAAATGATTAAACTCCTTGAGCCTTTTTCCTTATAATTCATGAGTAAAACGGGGACCATTCCTACCTACCTCAAAGCATTAATGGAAGGATTAAGTGTGATAAAGTATATAAAGTGCACGGAATAGTGCCTGGAAGGAAGGCAGTAAGGATTCAATACATGGTAGCTATGATTCCCAAGATTTTTTAGAAAGTAAAACCTTACTTTTAATGTACATAAACAGTTGACTACTTTAACTCAGAAAATTCTTTATCAGGTAGTAAATGCTTTCCTAGGAATCAGCAATATTTGGTGCTATTATTACTTCCTGAGAAAGGTGCTAGTTAAGCGGCTAAAATAATTTTTGGAGCTCTTACAGAAACTAACTTATTTAAAATATCTGTAACCAGAGAATGAATTGAAGTGCCCACGATTTTGATTAGCAACCTCTAATAATTTGAAGGCACAATTTCAGAAAGGAAAAAGGCCCAGGAGCCTTTGCAGCTAATTTCATTAATTCAAATAACCTCCTCTTTTTTCAGAGCCCCCTAAGTTCTCAGTAGATCCAAGTTAGGTCAGTACTGGGAGGGGAAACACTGGAGCAAAACCTAGGATATTTACAGGATGGGGGAAGGAAAGGCAGGTGAATTGCTGCAGGGCAAATAAGCGACAAATAGATGTTGATGCTGCTAGGAGCTGCTCTCTTCTCTCTAAATCAGTACCAAGTCCTTGGTGATCAGGGCATCTGTTCTGTAGCAGGTGCTGACTTTTGTGGGATTCATCAGATCCCAGTTCCAGCTGATGATGTCCATTAAAGGTTCTATGGCAATTTCCAAAGGAGTCAATTTCAAGTTACGTATCCTGACTAAGTGCTTTTGTTGACTTGCTTTCTGCCTACGTAACCCCCTCTCTGCAGTTCCATTTGTGGTGTTCTTCATGACCCTTCCTAAGCTTCTGTGTTCTTGAGCAGTTTTTCAACCCACTCCCTCCCCACAGGCCCACAGGTGGGTGCACTGCAGTGGTGGATGAAGTGATTGCCATATACTGAACAGAACAGAGGAGCATATCTTCCTAGAATCCCAGCACCTGGAAAAAAAAATAGATCATTAAAATCACCACAACTGAATACAGTGAAAAAGAAGAAGGGAGAACAGGGGAGAAATAGAAATACATACCAGGTTAATCATCAGGCAAAAGCTTAAGCAACAGCTCCTGTACTCCCCTGACCTGTCAGAAAAAGAAAAGTTTATAGAGTACTCTGTTGTAAGAGCCCCAGTACAATGGAAAATGATTAAGCAACATGGGTACCATTAAATGATGCTGAATCTGCCACAAGCGAGAGTTGTTATCCATGTAGCGTTCCTCAGGGTAGAGTTGCCACATGAGAGGTAGCTGGGAGGTAAGAAGGTGACTTGGCCTAGCTGGGTCACCTAAGGGAACCTGAACTTGCTGGACTCGTGCCCTTAGGAAACTCGTCTCCTAATGGGAAAAAAATGACAAAAATAAAAGCAAAGATTTCAGGATTTTGAGACTGGTTAGACACCAAGTTGCTTGAAAGCAAAATCAATTAAAAAAATAAGCAAAATGTAAACAGTTACCTCTTCCACGACGGCCACCCACGTGCGCTGGTATTCGTCGCGGTAGATACCCTCTTGGTGAACCCAGAGGTGATCGGGTGGAGCCCCCACATCCTCTCCTGCCATTCTGGGCTTTGGGTTCCAATTCTAGCCCTGCTTTTCTCCACCTAAGCCTGCAGCACCCGCGCACAGGACACAGGTGTGACTTTTTGGGTTTGAATGAACTCACCAGTGAGCAAGGTGACCTGGTACTAGCAACCACCAACCAGAACAAAACCTCTTATATGTCTACTTGCACAGCCTAAATAGAGCCGAGGCCATCTGAAGCTCCCTGCAAGACACTGAAGTGACACTCAGCAGAGCCTCAGGTCATGCTAACTGTTGACTGTGAAGCACTCAGCTCCTCAGCTCAGTGGGGAGTTCTGTGGAAATGTAGGACTAGCACCTCAGGAAGCTGGGCAGTGGTGTCACAGTCTTTGCACTCACAAAGCAGCATCTGACAAAATGTAGGTAGCAACAGAGTATGCAAAGGCACTTATTTGGGCAACAATGGACATGTGTGCCATATTCCCCAGGTAAAAGCCCCTTTCAAGCAATTCCATTTTAAAGGATTGTGAAGGCTGAATTATGTGCATCGCTTTCTAAATTAAAATTAAAAGTTTGTTTTAAGGACAAGCAACCTATTTATCAGCTTACTTAGAAAGGTTACTTAGAGCAGTTGGGCATTTCCAGAAGGGGGTTTTCATGTTAAGGAAAATATTTAAGGTAGCTTCATGAAATTTTGAAGCTGCAAAAGACTTTGGGGATCATGGTGATTTGGAGCTGAGAGCAAATGATCGTTATCCATCTAGGTCCTTGTTTCATTTTGATAATGCTTCAGGATGTCACAGGAACCCATTTTTCCACAGAGGTGTGCATTTAAATTCTGATTTCCCAAGTCAGAAGGCCAGAAAAACCCCTCTGCCGTTTGAGAGGTGTAAAGGAAGCAAACCTCCTGGGCAAACTCTTTCCATAATGCAGATTCGGCTCTAAGCCCATAAGGATTTTCTGCCTAGCTCTGGATCTCATTTCAGGCCCTCACAATTACTTGACCTGCATTTTGGAGGAATGAATTGTTTGTACCTGGTTCCTAGCATCATGGCATGGTTTCACTGTATTTCTACCTTTGACAGAGCAGATACAGCATTGGGGCATCTGCCCCACAAAACAAAGGCCTCCTATTCTCATTGGGTGGCCTTAAGGTAGGAGAGGAACTTCAGCACATCTCGGGAGGTTGTTAAACCATTATTGAGATTGTCAAGAGCAAATGAGATGCCAGAACATAGTATGATACAGCCCCGGAAAAAGCCAGAAAGAACTAATTGGGCTAAACCAAGCCCTCTTTTCAAGGACAACAATTTGATTTTTTTTTTCTTAACACTGTTAGTTCACCTTCCCTAAAAGTAGATCTCTTTTATAGACTTAAGAAATGGTCTGATTTCAGTGGATAATTTAAGAGCATCATAGTTGCTTCACCCATTGTACCCTGATTGGAGTTGACTCTGAGCCTATTGTAAGCTCCCATCTTATAGGGCTCTCTCATTTCAAACTCACCTGAAGAACCCCTTCTCCTTCACCAAATTCCAACTTCTCTCAGTGGCAACACCACCTCTCCTGATCTTACAGACTCAAAACTTTTGAGTTATCTTGGACTTCTTCCTCTTCTTCAGTTGCTACATCCTATCTGTCACCAATTCCAGCAAGCACCACTACCGCCATATTTGAGACAAACTTTCCCCTAAATACTAGGCCCATTTCTAGCTCCAAATCCTTGCTCTAGCTTTCTACTTGTCTAAAATGCCTCCACAGGCCATTCTGTTTATCTTAGTACTATTATGGCAGAGTGCAGGTACCTTCTCTGAAAACTTCTTGCCTCTTAGTACTACTGCAGCATTTATGTCTCAGCTCAAGTTCATATTTTGGCCTCTAATTATAAATTGCCTTTGCATATTTGCTTTGCTTATTTCACAAGCCTTGTCTCCCGTCAAATACAGTATTATAAGCTCTTCAATAACAGGAATGATATAGTAGTACTGGGCACCCTAAGTCTCAATTCTAGTCAGTGTTCCTGTGAGTGAGTGGATATGTATGCTGGGTAGAGAGGAAACAGATAAAGACCACACATACATGGGCAGAGATTGATCCTCTAGGTATATTATATAACTATATATTTTTTCAAAGCCATTTTTTTCCATTTAGCAGATACAATTGTTCTGCCTCTCCTTTTCCCCAGGGCTTTGGAAAGGAGAGATACAAACAAAAACCAAGTAAATACTAATGTGAAAAAATATTTATTAAAGTCTGGATTTTGAGTACAAAAGAAATAAGTATGGCCATTAAAAATAAAAAAAGAAACCAAGTGTTAAGAGTTTCAGTACCATCTCACCTTCACAGACAGGTCCATTCACAGATAGACAACAACTAATATATTGACATTTAAGTTTGTTTTGAATGAAAAGCAAAATTTTACTGGTTACACTGACATTAAAAGGAAATGATTCCAGTGGTATAGAGGGCAAACAAATTGGAGATGATAGTCTGAGTTACTATGAATTACTACAAAGAGGCCTATGAGTCACTACAAAATATTCTCAGAAGAAAGGCAGTGTGATGTGCTGCTGTGACCTAAAGGCCAACATGCTGGGCATCAGTAGGATGAGCCTGGGAACAAACTCCAGCACATGACCCTGGACTTGTGTGTGCTACCACTCACCGAGATGCTGCCATATGAGCACGAACCAACAACATCCTTACCAGAGAAAAGCAAAGGCTGAATGACTAAGATTAAGATGAAGGACCATAAAATCATAGATTGTATAAATTGCAAACCATTTCCCTAAAATGTGATTCTTGGAACACTTGCCCCTAACTTTTTCCTTGGTCAAATAAGTTTGGGAATCTTACAGTCATAAAGCTTATTAGTGTAGTAAAAGTTCTGGCAAGTTACACAGTAAAGAAACTTTAACAATTCCCAAATTTACCTGACTAGAGAACATTTTTCTGCACACGAAACTTGTTCATAAAATTCAGAACCCCTTGAACTAAGATGAATCTCTTTAATCCTCAAGATAAACTCAGGCACAACGTGAATATAATACACAACATAAACCTGTTCCACTCAACGCAAAGGAAAACTACCATCTGCAAATTCAAATGGATTCAAAAAGTGCTTATATGGCTTTATCATCCAGTAAGGCACTAAAGCCGACTGTCCCCATGGGGGGTCACCTTGATGTCATGGCCAGAGACCATACTGACCTAGACAGACTACTTCCTAGTAAGGTATTTCATAAATTATGTTTTAAATGGACGATATACAACATAGAAAGGTTTCCTTAAGAAAAATATAATTTACTTCAATTTCCAGGTGTTTGAACAATTTTTAAACGTTAATCAGTTGAATATACTTACTTTCTTTGAAGTGAATTAATAAACTGATTTAATTACAATGGGTGAAGTTACTAAGAACGCATGCCCTGGAGTCAGCCTGGCCTGGGTATGAATCCTGATTTTGCCACTTAATAGCTTTGTGACTTGGGAGAAGTTAACCTCTCTACACTTGTTTTCTGAGGTGTGAAATGAGAAATAAACAACATACTGATCATAATGGTAGCACTTATTTAGTACTTGTTATATATGTATATTGACTCTTTTAATCTTCACTATCACCTGATTAGATGGATACTGTTATTACCCCCCCCCCACTTAAAGATGAGGGAAGTAAGGCATAGATAAGTTAGGTAACTTGCATGAAGTCACAACACAGGTAGGAAGTTGTAGAGTCTGATTCCAGTTGGGGCAGTTTACACAGACAGGTATATAAATGCTTGGTAGAGTGTCTAGCACAAAATAAGCTTGCCAGAAATTTTAATAGTCTTTCTCTGTACTCCAATTAAACATTTAGAACTGTAAAAATGCAGTCATGAGCATTATAAAACTTAGAGAATGTTCTGATATTTGAGATTGACTAACAGCAACAACAAAGAAAAGGTGTTTTTTCTCTTGAAGGTGCCTAAAGGCACTTTATAAACTCAAAATATTCTATTACTAAACATAATAATGAGAACAGCCATCGTTGTCCCATTAAGGCAGGGCATACAAGCCACGAACAGTAACTGGACATAATATATGGTGTAAAATTGAAACTTAAGAGAAAATTTAGATGGGTCCAATGTAATCGCACACTTCAAGATTTGCCCAATCTTCATCATTATCAAGACGAATCATGGAAAGAGGTGCCATGTGATCCTTAAGCATTAGGTAAAAATGGAGGTTGCTGGTATATATGTCACAGACAATTTCAGTGGATACGGGCCGTATTTGTGGGGGAACTTGGATTGGAACTGAGTTGGGAGAAAAGAGCAAAGCATCAACACCTCTTCAAGTAGCATCTTGGGAATGTTCCCTTTCCAGTACTGCCATGCCTGCCTGGCTTCAACACTGCACAGGGAATAGAAAACCAGATCAAACAAACATAAACACTGAAGGGCTGTGGGAGGCGGCACGGCATGTATTTTTCTTTGATTTAGAATGGTTCCTAAAATCCACGTGTAATTCCTAACCTTGGGAGTTGAAAGATCTGTACTTTTACCCGTGGCACGTTTGACATTCCTGAAAAGAAAATTACTTTTACATAGAATTTCACCATGTCTGATATCATCAAGACAAGGAGAGCTGAGGAAACTTATATTGTGGATATCGACTGCGATACATCTGAGACCTTCAATAAAAACTGAAGTCCCTCATTCCCGTTCCCTGTATCGAACACATAAGATACCTAAAAGCCTTTGTAGAACATAGCAGTAGCCAAGCTTAAGAGTGATACTTTTTCAGATACAGTATAGCACTGTTTCTGGAAGAGGTTACTCACATGAATATAATGTTTCTTGGGCTAATTAATCCGCCTCAGGAGCAGCGAGGCTAAAACTTCCAGGTCCCCCGCCCTGGGCCACTCAAGCCAGGATCGGGACGTGAGCCTGGGGCGAGCCGAGGGGCATCCCGGGCCGAGGTCACCCGAACCGAAGTTATGAGGCGAGGGCCGGCAACCGGAAGTGGTCCAGGGAGAGTTGTACAAAATTCAGGGGCCGTAACTTGGAAACAAAGCGAAATAAAATAAAACCTGAACTGTCTTAGGACCGAATTTCAAAGAGCGTCCCCCCTGGCTCAGGAGGCCGGCGCGCGCGGCGAGGCCGCCTTAAAGGGCTGTCCCCGGAGCGTGTAGGCCGCGTACGGCTCTCTTCAGCGGGCGGGCAAAATGGGCGCGGGCGCTCGAGAGGCGCCAGCCCGGCCGCCGGGGCGCCGCTCACAGAGCACGTCGGCCCACGACCCGCAAGCGCCGCCTCCCTGCCCACCCCGCCACCCGGCCTGACGCCCCGACCGCGGCCGGCTACCGCCCTCCGCCCCACGGCCACGCCTGCCCCAACCGGCGCGGGCGTCTCCCAGGTGCCGCCGGGCCGGCCCCGCCCGGCCCCCGCGCCCCACGCCCCGCCTCCGCGCGCCCCCTCGAGCCCCGCCCCACTCCGACCGCCCCGCCCCGCCCCTCCCCGCCCGCGCTCCTCAAGCCCCGCCCCCGCGGAACCCGCGCTCCGGAGCACCCGGTTGGCCAGGCCCGGAGTGGGCCCGAGGCGGACGTGAGCAGGGTCGGACCAAGATGGCGGTGCAGGTGGTACAGGCGGTGCAGGCGGTTCATCTGGAGTCGGATGCTTTCCTAGTTTGTCTCAACCACGCTCTGAGCACAGAGAAGGAGGAGGTGATGGGGCTGTGTATAGGGGAGGTGAGTAGGTCAGTTAGTCTGACCGGAACCCTGCTGAGCAGTCGCAGCGTGTCCCCGGGGTGGGTGTTGGCAGCGCCCAGGGCTGCGGAGGCTTACAGGCACCTCTGACCTGGACCCTTGGACTGGATCCTTTGGATGGTCAGGTAGTGGGGGCCCTGTTTCGTCTGTCTCTGGACGCTTGTTTAGCCTCCCGCAAACCCCCAGCGATCTGCATAATGCTCCGGGTGGGCCTTGCAGTTTCTCTTACAGTCTGTGGCTTTTCTCTAGATCTGGAGTTATCACCCCATTGACCAAAACCGCAAGTCAGGCCGTAAAGACATTGTAGTATAATGAGGACACCGGTGTATTAGGAAGCAGCCAACCATGATTAGGGCCCCTGGCCTCGCCTCCAGTCTTCCTTCTGGGAAGCCTTCTAAGTGTATCAGAAAACCAGACAGAGAAGAGGGTTTCAAAGATGCAAAGGTTTCCACTGCGTTAAGTGTTGGAGAGGAGCAAAAGAGGATGAGGAGATAGACCTTTACTTGTTTACAGTCCGAAGTAAGAATTCTCCAGTCTTTCATGCTGGTGTACGGGAACACATGACCCAAATTTCATATGATCTACATCCGTGTACATCAAACTAGCGTAATGTGATCAATAATGTTTTCTGCTTTTTCCCACTCTAGTTGAATGATGACACAAGGTAAGATTATATTTGTTTACTCATATCTTTTGATCTCTATGTAACTGTTAACTCAAAATTATAACAAGTTTGGCAATATTATGTACAACTTATATTTTAAGTTACCATTATGAGTCCGGAATTCCCTCAGTGATACACTTTGAATTCCACCCCAACCCTGAAGGTTGGTTTCCACCTTACTTCCTACTAGGAGAATTTTCAGTTGATATATGTATGACCTTCTGTAAAAAATATGGGTAGGAGTACCAAGATCATGAGTGAACCTGTGAAAGCTCTTACATGTAGAATTTTGTTTACTCATACAGTGCTGTTATGTTCTGTTTTATTTCTTGATATGTTTTATGTTCTCTCCTGAAATGACAATGAAATACAGATAATTTTCTTTGCAGCAAATGATAAGCATATTAAGAAACATTTCCCCCTATTAACTCATTCCTTTGACTAAATTGTCAATGGCTTTCTGCCTCCCCCTGGTGGACCCTACAATGATCTCAGAGATGCCCAGGAACTTGAATGCTTGAGGAGGCAAAAGCTTTGGGTTACCTTTATTTAAATTTCAAAGCGTAGCGGAGTGTGTATTTCTCAAGCCCACCTCCTTAATACCCAGGATTCTAAGAATTTTGCTTTGCCACTGAGCAGATTATGTACTTAGTCACTCTTCCTTTGTCTCTCCTGAGGTTTAATTGCAAAAACTTCGAATCTTGTTACTTTGCTTTAATATCTTTTTATATTCCAAACCTGAGTTCCTTTTTTCCCCCAATTTATCCCCAAAAGGAGTGACTCCAAATTTACATATACCGGAACTGAAATACGCACAGTTGCTGAAAAGGTATGTGTGCTAGACTTTTGCATGATAGAAACTTTCAGTTGGGGAGGGATTTCTGTCCTCAATTTGATGATCTCAGCCAGGGATTAACCGGTTTGTGCAGGCCCACACTTGTGGCTGGGTAGGGTGTTCTCTCTAGTAAAATCAGATGAAGAGTGTACTCATTAGGACTGGAACCTAATTTTTCTATTTGTAGCAAATTCAGATGAGTAATTGCTCTCAGCTCTCCTCCTTGCTGTTCTCTGCCTGATCTCTGGCCCTTCTCCCTGCTTCCTTCAGACTTTTGGCTGGTTTGCTTCCTTGAAATCTGTGAATTTCTTCACATCACTGTTATCTCAAGTCCCGATTCCTACTTTGGGCAACCTTCTATAAGCAAACTATCCATAACTTACAATTCTTAGTCTACCTTGATTTTTTTCCTGTCTACAATCCTGCCTCACCTTTTCTGGCATGCTCTAGCCTTCGTGGTGTAGTATAATGCTTTTCAACCTATACTTTTTGGTATAGGGCCATTTCATTGTTTTTCCAATATGTTGCAGGCCACTGCTTTTGTAAAATACGATAAAAATAAATTATGGCCTCTTCTCTGCCAAGCAGATGATGGGCATGATAAAAACTATCAGGCAACAACTCCATCTACTTTTTACCCCTGTATCCAAACTTCTCCATGTTAACCACTTTGCTTCCTTTCTTCCCATATCAAGGGAAGAAGTTTACTTCCTACCCAGAGCTACAGGTTCTTCAGGGACCTTGCTTATCAAATATCCTGTCTTCTGAGTCTTCAACCTTTTGACAGGCTTTTTCCCCTTAGAATACAAATGTGCTTAAATTACTCTCATTTTCACAAAGGAAAGAAAAATAACTTTTCAATCCTGTATATTCTTGTAGTCACTACTCTTATATCCTTCTTTTAATAGCCAGACTGCTTAAAAGGATAGGCTACAATCATTATTATTTCTTTACCTTCAATAGTCACACATACCAAGGTCTGGTTTCCAGTTCTCTCTCTCCAGCCACCTCCCCATTGCTATATCAGTGGATTATTTCTTGGTGCTTATCTTAATCTTTCTCCTCAGAACTCTGAATTGTCATGGGGTTTTTTTTTTGTTTTGTTTTGTTTTGTTTTTTGTATCTCCCTATTCCTCTCCCCTCCCTCCCATCCATTATGGGGTCTTCATCTTCTGCATTAAATATTGGTATTCTCCAAGTTTCTGGCTTGGCCTCCTTGCCTTCCCAGAATGTCTTCTGGGCAACATTACCTTCCCTATGGCTTTAGCTACGACATTGAAGTTAGACAGATCTGTCTTTAAATCCTTCCTCTGATACTCACTGTGTGACTTTGGGCATGTTATCTAACACTCATTTGTAAAATAGACATAAAAATGAGTATTTTACATACATTACCCAAATCTAACTCTCCCAACAATTCTATGAGGTTGGTGACTGTCATTATCACTGTTTTACAGTTAACATGTAGTGTAATATTAGTTTCAGGAGTAGAATTTAGTGATTCATCACTTACATATAACACCCAGTGCTTGTCACAACAAGTGCCCCCCTTAATACCCATTGCCCATTTAACCCATTCCCCTGCCCACCTCCCTGTGTCAACCCTTAGTTTGTTCGCTATAGTTAAGGGTCTGTTTTATGGTTTGCCTCTCTTTGTTTTTTCCCCTATGTTCATCTGTTTTCTTTCTTAAATTCCACATATAGAGTGGAATCATACGGTATTTGTCTTTCTCTGCTGGATTTATTTCACTTAGCATAATACACTCTGGCTCCATCCACATAGTTGCAAATGGCAAGATTTCTTTCTTTTTATGGCTAATATTCCATTGTATCAATATACCATATACCACCTCTTCTTTATCCATTCATTAATCAATGGACATTTGGGCTCTTTCCATAATTTGGCTGTTATTGATAATGCTGCTATAAACATCGGGGTGCGTGTATCACTGGGGGAGTTACCAAGTTAATAAATGGAAAGCACTCTTCCAAGTACCTGACACATGGCAGGTAGCCAATAAATATTTGTTGTTGTTAATATCCAGTAGATACTAGTTAGTATCAATTATCCCAAGCTCTAGTACTTCATACACCACTGCCTATTTCAAGTTTAGCTAGACACAGGCATCTTTTTTTTTTTTTTAAGATTTTATTTATTTATTTGACAGAGAGACACAGCAAGAGAGGGAACACAAGCAAGGGGAGTGGGAGAGGGAGAAGCAGGCTCCCCGCGGAGCAGGGAGCCCGATGCGGGGCTCAATCCCAGGACCCTGGGATCATGACCTGAGCCGAAGGCAGATGCTTAACGATGGAGCCACCCAGGCGCCCCTAGACATAGGCATCTTAAACTAACATGTTCAAAACTGAACCTTCCCTCTTCCTCAGACCCACTCCCAACATTCCTCTGCCACAATAGTTCCCAAGCCTGGGGGCACCTTGGAATTACCCAATAATTTTACAAAATCCTGATGCCAACTCCATTGGTCTGGGGTGAGACCTAGGCGGCGGGAGTTTGAAAAACTCCCCAGGTGATTCTAATGTGCAGCCATGTTTGGGAACCCCTCGAAGCCATTCAGAACCATAGATTGCTTTCATATTATTTCCAATACTTCATCCCAACTGCTGCTCCCTTATTGGAGGTCCTTATTCTTTTCTTGAATACACGCTAGCCTCTCCCCAGTCTTCTTGCCTCGAATCTCTTGCCGCTAGTCCTGTCTTCTGATTGCTTAGGGTGTGATCTTTTGAGAACGTAAGTCTGACGTACCTCTGCTTAAAATCAGTGCATTTCCCATTACCTTTAGGATGAAGCCTCATTAGTCAAGCATTC